GAGCGGCGGCGGCGAGCCGGGCTCCGCGTGGTCCCTTCGCTTCCCTTCCCTTCCCTTCCCTACCCTTCCCTTCCCCGCCTGGCGCTCGCCGGCGTTTCAAGTGAGATGTTATCTGCCCATTGATCCCCCCCACCAGTGCACCCAACCTCCACCCACTTCCGAAAAAAAAAGAAGAGAGAGCGAGAGCGAGCGCGAGCTCGGTGATAGGACTCTCTGCTCATGCACAAAGGCAGCGTGTGACAAGCGGACCCGAGCGGAGGAACTTAGCCCGGTGCGAGAGGGAGCATTTAATCGATGGATCGGGTGATTGATCGCTCCAGTGATTAGAGAGCTTTGATTTTCGCCAGGAGCGGTTAGTGGAGATCCCTTGTCAGGAGTTGTAGCCAGAGACAGATGCACTGACCATATCCCACCCCCCTACACACACACACACACACACACACACACACACTTTCTTTCTCTGTAACACTGGAAAAGTTGAAGATAGGGGTGAGGGAAGGCATCATGCTCCTCCCCTGTGCCCAGGGAGCCAGGCAGGACATGGGCATGGGCAACCTGGGTGGCTGCCCAGGGCCTGGGCAGAAAGGGGGCCTGAAAATGGTGAAAATAATGATTGTTGTTATCATGATCTCTGGCAAAGGGGGGCCTGATACTAAAAGTTCACCTGGGGTTGCCAGGAGTCTAGGTATGGTGCTGCCAGGGAGGGAGACTCCTGTGGTGGGACAGTGCCCTGATCCCTCTGCCAGCCAGCCAAATAGAAATGATTTCCTGCTCTTCCAGGGGCAAAGCAGAGGGGCAGCGACAGCTTGCACCCTGCTCTGATGGCACAGTGCCCAGTGTGCCCTGCAGGGGGTCACACCCTGCAGTGCCCACCTGCAGCCAGACAGTGCCCTTTGCCCCCTGGGCAGCGCCGCCCGGCTCCCAGGGCAGGATCCCACAGGGAGCTTTAGCTATTATGACATATCAATCTTCCCTTGCTGCCTTGCATTATGCATGTCTCATTAGAACGGCTGTGGGCAGCGTGATGCCTCCTGGCCTACCAGTGCAGATCCTAGGCAGGGCTTAGGACACTGGGGCCCTTCTGATCCCCCCCAGAGTGATTCTGTAGGTGAGACATTTTCATTGTTTCCAGGGCTGGGAGACATATCAGAGCCCTCCCCGCTGCCTGCTCCCTTTCTGCTGCTTTCCTCACACAGGATCCCTTTCCTCCCTGATTTATTTCTCCAGGCATGTCAGCCCTCCCCAACCTGGAGTAACGATTTGATTGAGATGCGCTTGGGAAGGGGAGATGGAGCGGGAGGCAGTAGCAAGGGGGTTAAAAGCCCCCCCAGCTCTGTGCCTGTCCGCTCTGTTTTGTCTGTTGTGGTTTGCTTTTGGTTCACAAGCCACTTTATTGCATTAAAGTGTTTAGGCTGCATAAAGTGAGATGCGTCTCCTTCCATCAAGATATTTGTCAAATTAGCCCAGGCAGAGTTTGCTGCCGCCTTGTTTATTTCCGCCCCCCACCTCGTGCATCCCTGAGCTGGGTCACACTGGAGTAGCACAGCCCCCTACCCCCAGAGTCCTCCCAGTGCTGCCAGCCCCCACCCAGGGGAAGGGCACAGCCTGGAAGGCCCAAGGCCCAGTGGCTGAGCTGAGGGGGTAAGTAGGAAGTTTCCCACTTGGTAGAAACAGGTGGGGAAGTGGCCTTGCTGCCCTTATCATAGCCTGTCCCTGCCCCTGCCCCTACCTTCTGGTGGCATCTGGGCTGGTGCTGAATGCAACTGTCTGTTTGGGGGCTGTTTCTTTCCTTGCCCTCCCTCGCACACCCCTGCTTATTCGCTTGTCTTTGGACCCTGGCCACCACATGACAAACAGGCCACAGTGCCCCCCACGGGAGCTAAGGGAAGACCCCAGCTTTTCCCTGCAGGACAGGTCCCCACACCTAGTCTCCTGGCAGGTCAGGGCAGCCTGTGCCTGGGTGGTATTGTCAGCAGGGACAGCTCTTTATTCAAATTGTCCCCCTCGCAAAGAGTGCTTCCTTCACCACCACAGTGTCATTCCTGTCAGCCCCAGACGGATTTTCTGCGCTTCGCTGGAGTGGAAAATAACAGCTTCAAACTTTACAGAGGAGAAGGCGCCAGCACTTTAATTAACAGCCATCTTGGCCCACGAGCTGCTGCTGCCACTGCTTCCAGTGACTTGCACAGGAAAGGAAAGCAGGGTGGGCTTTCTTCCTCTCTCTTGCTGATAATTAAAAGGAAAAAGTGCATTCGCGCTGTGTCTCAGCCATAAATCACCCATAGGGAGCTGAACAGTTCACCACAGAGGCAGCAGAGATCTGTGTGCGGCCGCTAGGGACCTTGGAGGGCCAGGCCCTCTGTGAAGATCCATCACTTTCACTCCTGCCCGCTGCCACCAGTGTTTTCAAAGGCAGCCTTCAATGTGGGGTGCCTCCTTTTCTTGGGCCCCCAGCTTGAAACAGATTCTTGGTAGGTCCAGGCTGCTGGTACGAGCAGCAGATGCTCTGAGGAGGCTCCACCTGAGGCTCTCCAAACCAATGACCTCCATGGAAGTCCTCACAGAATATGATACGGTTTTCTTCTCCCCCCCAGTAAGTGTCTGAAATGTCCCAGATTCCCAAAGGAATGTCCAACCGGCCTCAGCCCCGTGTATATGCAGTGTCAGAGATTTTAGGACCTGTACACATAGCCAGAGGGTTATACTCAGAGGTTCCTGCATCCAGCCCCTCGCTAGTGACTGAGTAAGAGCCTTCATTTCATCAGCCCAGCCTCACCCCTGTGACTGAGTGGGGAGGACTTGGCCTGAGGTTTAGATGGGCAAGACGTGGAACTGACCAGTTCTGCCAGAGATCTTGAGAGATCAGGGTTTCCCCTGAGGTTGGCCCCACAACAGCTCCCTATCCCAACAGAAGATTTTTTTTCGGGTGACACCTGGACCCTTGGGAGGAAGTAGCACATCTGAGAACCGCCTTGGACCTGAGCAGTTCTGTGCATGGTTGGCTATTGAAAGTGGGGGTGGGTTCTGGCTGGTGCTAGAATGGAGGCCTCATTCTTCCTTCTTCTACCTCACTCCCACTGCTGTCATTTCACTGACTTCAGCAGAATCTCCTCTGTCCTGGCCTGGTGTGAGAAGACCATCTCTTCCCCCATCACCCACCATGAGCTGGTTCACTATCCCATGGCCTGTGCTTTAGGGATGAAGAGCTCAAAGGAACAAAGGGTCCTTGGCTTCCTACACTTCAGTGAGCACAGGGCTTGATGCTGTGACCACAGTCCTCTCCAAGTGCCTGATTCTATAGATACCAGCCTAACCCTGAGGGACACTAAGTGCCAGCAACCTCACCCTGAGGCCAGTAGTACTTAGCATCTCTTAGTGTCCTAACAGAGGGCCAGATCCATTATTGGTGAAACCCCACTGACTTCAAGGCAGTTATGCCAGGATCTTATTTGTGAATCTCAGAGCAGTTCCCAGCGCAGACTTCTCAAGGACTGGAGTGAAGTACCCAGCAACTCAAAGGCACAGGTAGACAGTGGACAGGGTCTGGACCCCAGTAACAGCACACCATGAGCACAGCAGCTAGGAACAGTACATGATGAAGTGAGGCAGACTGTGCCAGAGCTGGCTCCAGGCAGAAGAGAGAGCTGAGGTGTGCTTGAGAGGCCAGGTGGGAAGGACAGTGTTCCCAGAGCCTAAGGGAGACTGAATTTCTTCCCTTGTGACCGTGGCACTGGATGGCCCTAGATCCAACTTTCCCACTCAGCCAACAGAGATGTGCCAGGCCAGGGCCAGGACCCAATGCACTTGTGACTTGATTTTCAGCCTCCACACTTGCTCCAGCAACTGGAGAAAATGGAGGAGGGACTCCTGATCAGTGCTTCCCTGGTCTGTAGCAATCTGAGGCCAGATTGCAAAGCTGGCTTGTTGCTTGTATAGTGAAACACAAGGAAAGGTATCCACTCCCCACAGTAGCCTCAAGAGATAAAAGGCATTCTTGCTTACAGCACAGAGCTGGGACTCAGGAGGGCCAAATGCCTTCCCAGCTCTGCCACAGACTCCCTATGTGGCCTTGGATATATCGCTTTCCTGTTCTGTGCCTCAGTGCCCCACCTGTAAAGCGGAGATAAAACTGACCCCTAGCATTACATGTGAGGTACTTGAGTGATGGGAGCCATGGATGCCAAGGATATTGTGTGCTGTTATAACCACACTGTACAAACATAGAACAAAAAGACAGTCCCTGCCCCAAAGAGTTGACGGTCGCCGTTTAAGACAAGAGGCAGCCGGGGAATACAGCCAGCCAGGAGGAGCATGCAGTGACAGTGAGATGATTGGGATGGCAGGATCACTTCAGGGAACAGTGCTGGCCTGGGGCAGGGAGAAGATGGGGTGGACTTTATTGCTGGGTAGGAGCTGAGTCCACAGTTCTGTTAGTCTACAGAATTTTCCTTTTGATTTGCCTTTTCTGTTCTTCCTCCTGCCTAATTGCCTGGGCAGCTGCACTCCAGCAAGTCCTTTGGAGCAGCAGGCTTATTTGTGTTGGAAATTGGAGCAGTTCTGAATACTTCCCTTTCTCCTGGATAATT